GATGGATGAATAGATAATGATGGATGGATGGATAATGGATGGATGGATGAATGAATGGATGAATACATGATGGATGGATTGATGGATGAATAGATAATGATGGATGGGTGGATGGATGGATAATGATGGATGAATAGATAATGATGGATGGATGAATAGATAATGATGGATGATGGATGGATGGATAATGGAAGGAGGAATAGATTATGATGGATCGATGGATGAATATGTGGATGGATCGATGGATGAATAGATAATGATGGATGGATGGATAATGATGGATGGTGGATGGATGTATAGACAATGATGAATGAATGGACTGATGAATAGATAATGATGGATGGATGATGGATAATGGATGGAGGAATAGATTATGATGGATGAATGAACGCATGATGGATGAATACATGATGGATGCATGGATGAATATGTGGATGGATCAATGGATGAATAGATAATGATGGATGAATTAATGCATGATGGATGAATACATGATGGATGCATGGATGAATATGTGGATGGATCAATGGATGAATAGATTATGATGGATGAATTAATGCATGATGGATGAATACATGATGCATGCTTGGATGAATATGTGGCTGGATTGATGGATGAATAGATAATGATGGATGGATGGATAATGATGGATGGTGGATGGATGTATAGACAATGATGTATGGATCGATGGATGAATAGATTATGATGGATGAATGAATGCATGATGGATGAATACATGATGGATGCATGGATGAATATGTTGATGGATCGATGGATGAATAGATAATGATGGATGAATGGATGAATACGTGGATGGATCGATGTATAGATAATTATGGATGGGTGGATGGATGAATACATGATGGATGTATAGATAATGATGGATGGATGGATGTATAGACAATGATGGATGGATGGATGGATTGATGAATACATAATGATGGATGGATGAATACATGATGGATGTATAGATAATGATGTATGGATGGATGGTTGAATAGATAATGATGTATGGATGGATTGATGAATAGATAATGATGGATGGGTGGATGGATGAATACATGATGGATGAATAGATAATGATGGATGGATGGATAATGATGGATGGATGTATAGACAATGATGTATGGATGGATTGATGAATAGATAATGATGGATGGATGGATGGATGAATACATGATGGATGTATGGATGGATGGTTGAATAGATAATGATGGATGGATGGATTGATGAATAGATAATGATGGATGGGTGGATGGATGAATACATGATGGATGTATAGATGATGATGGACGGACAGACGGGTGGCTTTTCCTCTATACAGTAAAGGTGATTGAGCAGCCGTGCAGAGTTCTCTTACCAAAGGAACCAAACTCTTGACATTTGAGCTCAAGGACAGAAAAGAAAACAAGGTGATGTGTTTGTCGTTTCTTCAATAACGCCATTAAATCTGCAGCATATTTCTATACTGGAGCTTTTCTCACTTCTCCATGTGTTTGGACCATTTCAGACAGCGTGTACAGGCAGGAAATCTCTGTCGCTATGGCATCAGGCAGCAACAATTTCCACAGATTCAACAAAACCAGACAAAAAATCCCCACGACCTCGATTTGAAGAAAGTCAGAAGTTTGCCACAATTGAATGCAAAGATAAAAGTAGTATCAATACAACTTTGCAGTGAAGTGGGGCTCAAACATCCAACGTACTTGGAGCCGAGTGTTGTTCATTTACCTGGTCGAGTGCTTAATGTAACGAGTCGGGGTCGGGGGAAGGAAAGTCTAGACAAACGCTAGACGAGAAGAGGTAAGCTTGAAATAGAAAGGAGCAACTCGTCTCTATGGAAACCACCGGCAAAAACAGTGGCATGAAAGACATGGAGAGGAAGAGGATGAATGAGAACAAAGGGAGAGGCAGATGAAGGGATCGAAAGAGGGAGAGGAATGTTGAGACGTGGCGCAAAGAGAAAGAAGGAAGGATGAGAGGGAAATGTGGAAAGCTCTCAAGAATAATGCGTGTGTCGCAGCAGTAAATATCAACGCCCTCACTGTCTGTTACTGTCACTTCCTTCATCTCGCTGAAAATTGATTTCATTTAACTGAAGAAAACTGTGTCCTCTTACAGAACGATGTGTATTCATTTCTCCAGCCATGGCACTAATGAGACACTCGATTATAACATTTCTCTCATTACCATAGTTAAAAATGTGTATAATTACTGGAACTAATATCAGTCATTTTCATAATTTAACACCCATGTTAGGCTGATTGGTAACTCTAAACTGTCCCTAGGTGCAAGTGAGGGACGAAATGGTCCATGTGGCCCTGTGATTGACTTGCACCCTGTCCAGTGTGTACCCCACCTCTTGCACAGTGATAGCTGGATATGGGCACCATATTGGTAAAGATAATGGATGAATGGATAACACCCAATGTATTCAAGGTATTAACGTCAGGGTAGTTGTGTAGCTAAAGGTCCTGTGTATACGCTGCATCTTGTGGCAACAAGTTGAGTCTTCTCATATTGTCAAACTATGGAAGCTAACATAGCAACACAACATGCAGCATCTTTGGATGCAATAAGAAGGTGCTATGTGTTGTCATCATTGTATGTTTCCGTACAATGACAAAATTAGTTCTCTGCATTTAACCAATCACACATGAGATACACCCAGATGGAGAAGTGGGCAGCTATGTAAGCATCCGGGGAGCAATTAGGGATTGGGGTCCTGCTCAGGGACACCACGACATGCTCATGGCGGTGAGTCGAACTGCAACTTTCTAGTCTTCTGCCCTGCCTTTACACCATCTCGACCCCTTGGCATTAAAAGGAATACAAGCAGTACGCCAATGTTCCGCATTGCTGAGGGATTTAAATAGTGAATGTTTGTAGTTCTCAAGATGAGTGTTTCTCTGGATGATGAATGGATAACACCCAATGTATTCAAGGTATTAACGTCAGGGTAATCGTGTAGCTAAAAAGGTTCTGTGTATACGCTGCATCTTGTGGCAACAAGTTGTCTTCCCATATTGTCAAACTATGGAAGCTAACATAGAAATGCAACACACAGCATCTTTGGATGCAATAAGTAAGTACAGTAAGTGCTATGTGTTGTCATTGTATGTTTCCATACAATGACTAAATTAGTGCTCTGGATTTAATCCATAGCACATGCGATGCACCCAGGTGGAGAAGTGGGCAGCTATGTTAGCACCTGGGGATTAGGTTCTTGCTCAGGGACACCACAACGTGCTCATAGCGATGAGTCGAACTGCAACTTTCTGGTTCAAAGTCTTCTGCCCTGCCTCTACACCATCTCGACCCCTCGGCATTAGGGATTTGAAAAGTGAATGTTTGTAGTTCTCAAGATGAGTGTTTCTCTGGACTGGATTTCGAAGTGGCAGCCCAATTTCCAATAAAGGACTTTCTTACGCCTAAATGCAACCACACCACCAAAATGGAAGTTGACGCATGGCTTATTTTTCAAATTATTGCACTCACAAGATTTGCATATATTGGCTGTTGTGGACAGCCATCTTGGATTTTGACCTGGCATCCCAGTTTTGGAAAAGAACATTTCTTACACTTAGATATAACCACACACCAAATTGGAAGTTGGTATTTCACTTATTTTTCAAGTTATTGCACTCATATTAACAAACGGATGACATTTCGATTTCCTCCTCTTTGCTCCGTGATGGGGTCAATGACCAGAGACTACCACTTGATACTGGAGCTGTTTTAAGTTGGCAGCAATTCCCTTTCCCCAACTCGTCAGTTCTGTTGTATCAAACCATTTTCCAAAATTAAATAGTTCAAGAAGCTATCTACATTAGATAAGAGTATAAAGTTTACAGAAAATGTACCAAAGACAACCGTTGTTTCCCTTTAATTTTGGCATTCTATAAATCTGTTCATTTTCAGTCCAGAGACAGATTTGGTACTTTTGTTTTTAAGCTAATTGATCCACTTGCTAAAATGGAAATTGCATGAAACGTAAGTGTCTTGGTGTGACTCTTCCGCCTCGGTGTAAGCAAAGTGAAAAACAGAGTAACCGAGTCTGATCGTGTCAGCAATACTGCGCTCAGCGTCAGTGACAGGTTCTGAAAAGGACTTTTTGGGAAAATATTTACTAGGCATTTTTTTATCCATCTCATTCTGAAGCCACCAAGCTGTGTTCAGACAAACATTCAGTTTGTTGGATAAAAACCCAGAGATACGACTGACAGTTGTCAAACTGAAGGCAAGACTGAGATCCAGAGTTGACGAGCAGACCACAAAATGTTTGGGAAACAGCAGGTTCCTAACTTAACACATCCAGTGCGTTCAGGCTGAAGACGACAGAGGGAAAACTCTAGCCTCAGGATCGCGCTTCGAGGATTTACCTTTTACAAGAAGCCAAACAAGCAACAGAAGACGGCAAAGTCCAAGTATAAAAATCTCATGGCAATGGGATCAAGTCATACTGTAGCTGAAGATTCAAAAGCTCCATGAAGTCTGTGTTGATCAGACCAAAGTTGCTAACAGGTTCGTTTTACCAAAGGATCAACCAACAGTGACCTGAACTGTCCAACAAAGCTGCGACTCAACGTTGAGTCGTTTGTTCAGATGCAAACTGATGTATTTTAGAGTTTTATTCATGAGTATTTAAGATGAATCAAATACATGCAGTTCCTTCCCCAGTTGCATACAAACCTCAGTACCGCGGTAGTTTTGCAAAGTAAAAGGGGGTCAGCTGTTTTCTTTGTCTCCTGACAAACCCGTTACCTTTTCAGGTATCACCACCGTGCTGACCATGACCACCCTGAGTACAGTGGCCAGAAACTCACTACCCAGAGTGTCCTACGTGACCGCCATGGACCTGTTCGTCACCGTCTGCTTTCTGTTCGTCTTCGCTGCCATGATCGAGTACGCCATGCTAAACTACTACTCCTACAGTATACGCAGACCTCCGCTCAAGATGCAGAGGATGGTAAGCCTAATAAACTTGAACTGTTTATTAATGTTTTTATTTCTTACTCTCATTTACGTGCCTTTTAAGCCTGAATCTTATTGGCTGTGACTATTGGCAACACAAAATGGTTCTTTTTTTCTTGTAATCTCACCGATTTGGTCAATTCAAGATGTTTGCACATGTATGCAGCTTGAAATGAACAACATTAGCACAATATTCCCCAAAATAACACAAATTAGGTTTCAGTTTGATCACAATTTGTTTTCTTGTCTGTAATTTAGTCGCCAAGCTCTCTCTCAGAATTGTCCCATCTCTTTGACTCGTGGAAACGCAACAAACGAGTTCAAGAGGATTGTTGTACAATTTCACTCAAAATTTCTAATTCAACATGAGGGCGAGGCCTCGTGAGTTATCAAGAAAATGAAGAAACAACACAGACACTAAGACATTTTAGAAACTTTTGGAGATGGCCAGCAGTCGCATCCTAGTGAGATACGGGGTTAGCCGTTCATGGGACAACAACCAATGGATGAGAAAAAGATGGAGGGGTCGGAAGAGAAACAAAATGTCCATAAAAGGCTGCACGGCAGATCAAATGAATCATCAGAATATCAATGTGAGCAATGCTGGTATAAAAAAATAATCTGTCTGCCAGTAATACATTCAAGTAAACTAACCCCAGCTAGTCGGGACAGATGTCCGCCCATCCTGAGCCTCGTTCTGTTAAAGGTTTCTTCCTGTTAGCTATTTTAACATACCCTTTGGCATTTTTTTTTGTATATCTCAATGTATTTCTTAGATCCTTACAGTAGTTACGGTTTCTTGTTATACTTTATATTTTTGCTATTTTAGGGTTTAACTGGGACCCTGTGTAGATCCTCGTGTACCACATGTGATGTGAATGACAATAAAGTTGACTTGAACTTTCACTAGTTGGCATTTTATAACGATAATGAAGCTTTTTGTATAGAGATCCGAGATGACGTTTGATGTGAATTGACTGTATTAAATGAGCGGTATGCCGTTGCCCCCGACGTGGGAAGATTCGAAAAGTGAATGTTTGTAGTTTTCGACATGAGTGTTTTTCTGGACTGGAACTGAACAGGGACTGAAAGTACACCCAAGAGTTTTAGTGCAAGATATTAAAATAGGTATGAGTTACACTGTGTAGAAGAACAGAGGTTGTGTATTTTATTTATTTTATGAGGTGGTGTAGAATGATAGATAATGGCGAGCGGGCGCTACATTTGTGCCGGCAATTGTTGGGGGGTGGGGGGTAGCATAGCGCTACAATTGTAGTGAGTGCGATTCTTGCGGTTTAGAGTTTGAGCTGAGCTACAATCTCTGCTTCCTGTCAGGAAGTGGTGGAGGGTTGGGGATTTGGTAGGCGGGGCGCTCGGTTCTGTTGACAGGGCGTGGCGCCCTCCTTGAATGATGGTAGGGGAAACACCTGATTTCAGTCAATGGGTGATTAACAGGTGGGTTGGAGCAGGGAATCAAGTAAAACATGCAGAATAGTGGCCCTCGAGGACCACGATTGGACACACCGTACTCAAACACTACGTTGTTAGCGTTGCGTTAACAAAAGACAAAGGAGAGAGGAAAACGTGGCGTCATCGCAGCTGATATCATTATATTATTGCAATTGCAATAATCTCTACAAACAAATAAAACCAAAGAGCAGAGAACACGATGGAGACATGACAAAAACACCAAAACTACCATTAAAAACCATAAGGGATAATGGCTATACACCACGTTGTAGAGAAAGCATTAAACTGAGGTAAGAACTGTCGGCTTGCACAATTCCAATGATATAATTACAAGCAGTCCATTACTGAGGTGTTTTGGTCAAATGAGACGTTTCAGCAGTGCCATAGCAACCTCAGGGAGTCATCAGCGCTCCTGGTGATTCATAAAACGAGTGCTCATCCGCTGGCCGTACCTGGCTGTCCACCAACGAAAACAAAGAGCAACAACAACCGAGCAGAGCGGACAGTGTGTATCTGAACACCTGAACCTGACCGGTGCAGCTGTGCTCGCTCACATTGGGTTTATTAAGACGTCTAAACAAGCAAATTAAGCCGTTAATGTCTTCAGCCCTTAGCTGACAGATATCAGTCATATATGTACAATCCTTGAAATCTAGCATGTCATTATGAGCACACGCAGTTCAACATCTTTCCAGCTGCAGCTCCCGTGCAAAGAGCTTGATGTTCTGTGTAGGTGGTTCAAGGCTGTACCTGCAGCGGGTGTCTTAATGGCGGCAGCGCGCATCTACCAAAACCGAGTTAGTTACCACTGCTGTCATTTCCCGTCTCTCCAGATCCCCTCCCTATTCATTATTTTCTCCTTGTGTGGAGGAGTTCTGCTCAATGTGTCTCGGGGCTAAAAAGACTGGCAGTTCAGGCTGAACAATTAAGTTGTGCTACATTCAGTCCCCACCTCTGCGTTTCAGGCACTCTGCTGGATTTTTATTTTTTTTTGCAGAGTCTGTCTGTCTGTGGGGAAGCCTTACATCTCCATCCTCACGGGCATCTATACGCCTACTTTAAACAGCCCATTCAGTCCCGTCTCTCTTGTCTGCTTCTGTTCCTTTAATAGAGAAGTAAATAACTGGAAAACCTTTTTAGAAATTTTACCCTCATTAAGGATTAGCAGTTTTAGCAACCATGTTATAAAATAGTTGGTTAACGGTTTGGATTTTTTATGGGACAGTGGAACAGGGAACGGTAGGTACAGAAATGGAACGGGGAACGGTGTATACAGCAACCAACTGCAACGGGCTGTAAATAGTTTCCAAAATAGCAACTACTAATTGCAAAATTGAGTGATAACGAAAAGGAAAGACAACGACCCTTTATATACGCACGTCTGAAGACTGACATATTATGGTATTGTCTCCATCCATAAACTCTCTTGTCCGGGCCATAACTTTTGAACCGCTCAAGACAATTAAAAAAAACTTCATGTGAATTGGTACCACCACTAGACAGTGCATCTAGTGACTGTTGGTCCCCCAGCTTCAAGGTGAAGGTCACAAATCAAGGTGAGAAAGGTATTTGCTACAGATTGCCGTTTTGCTATGCAATAGTTTGTCGACAAATGTGTAATGCACTTTCAGATCGTGTATGTATGAACCACATTTTGCAGAGGAACAAATTTTTGCAAATACAATAGCTACTGGCAGAATCGTATGATTACCTGCTGGGTGTTTTTAACATCTTCAACACATAGAGCAACACCAACAAGGTTTGATTAAAGAAATGGTGACCACTTAAACAAGTTTGTCATGCTGTTTTTAGCTTGACTTTGTAACACCTGTCCAAAGACAACAAAATGCAATGTTGTCTTTTAGCTAAATCTGACATAAATGGACTGCACTTATAGCGCCTTTCTATCTTATCCTGATAGTCAAAGCTCTTTACAACAATCTGTGCCTCATTTACCCATTCATACAGCTCTATACTAGATCTGTACAAAAAATAATCAGTGCTTTATCACATTCATACACCGATGGGACACACATCGGAGGCAATGAGGGGTTCAGTGTCTTGCCCAGGGACACTTTAACATGTGACTGCTGGTGGATTTGAACCCCCAACTCTTGCATTAGAGGATAACTGCTCTAACCACTCAGCCACAGCTGCCCCATATATTAATATTTATCAACACATTATACGCCCGTAGACAAAGTATTACACAGCAATGCCTCATTGTACAACAATGGCCTGGACAAGCAAAGACCATATATAGCGTTGACCTTGATCAACCTTGAAGCTTGGGTGATGCAAAGTGTACGGGACATTCCGTCTCGTGATGATGCTTATGTGTTTTATGTTTTATTACATTATCTTGAGTGGATCAGACGTTATGGCCCAGACAAGAGAAAGTTTAAGGATGGGAGGAGTCTATACCAAAATACATCCGAATTTCAACAGGCGTATAACGGAAAAAAAAAAAGTAGTTTATAATTAAACTAATGCTTTGTTCACACAGAATAGTTTTTTCTGAAGCAATCTTTTTACTGGCTGTTCCTAAAAATATCAGTGTAAATGCATACACAGTTCTACGAATGTTTCCCTCTGCACAAAATCAGAAAATGACCCGATAGACTGGAGTTACCATGCCAGGCCTGTGGATGGCGCTGCAAGGCTGCCACAACAACACACAGAAAACATGAAACAAGACATGGAGGATGTGCCTCTAACTGTTAACAGAAGGAAGATACAAGAGCAAGAATTATGGACTGACGCCAAAGTAGAACTTTGTGGCAGTCCGATTACATGGAGCTATGCCCGGGGTCATAAATGATGCAAGGGGTTACAAGTTGTATGGGCTGTCCACACAGCATTCGGGTTCCTAACATTTGCACATTCACAAAAAGCCTACAAACAGTTTAAAACTAGAAGGTGCGAATCTGATCTATCGTGTTTTGTTTCCGTTGTAGGCCTACTCGTCTTTGAACATGGGTCGCACCCCTCGGCCCATGATACCCATGGGCAACTCGCTGTTCTGGCACGACTACGATGACAACTGCCTGTACGAGTGCCTAGACGGCAAAGACTGTAAGAGCTTCTTCTGTTGCTACGAGGAGTGTAAAGAAGGCGGTTGGAGGAAAGGACGGATTCACGTCAACATCCGGGAGTTGGATTCCTACTCGCGGGTCTTCTTTCCCACCTCCTTCTTGTTGTTTAACATCGTCTACTGGGTCAGCTACCTCTACCTCTAGTCCTTTCAGGCCACGATCATTGGGTTCTGGCAAGACAGCCCTCGACATTTCCCACGGCGGCCACTGATTTGAGGTCAAGACTGTAGTGGAGGAAATGAGCTGGTCAGTGGGAGTTTCAACGAACATCTTGAAGGCCATGGGACTTTGGCCAGTGGTCCTTCAGAGACCAAAACCCTCTGCCGTGGAATAACAAGCCGCCAGCCTTGACCTTAAAAGAGCACAACCCCTTCGACGACTCTTCGAGAAGCCAAACTTTGACCTGATAGATGTTCGTGGACAGGGTTACAGAGCTGAATCTTGGGTCATCGAGATAACGAAGCACCCCATAGTGCCTTCTTCAGATTAGAAAGGGTGCAAAGACAAAGGACGCAGCTTCAGATTCCCCTTCGATTATCTTTTCTTAACTCATCCATAACGCCGCATGCCGAGCTGTTCACCCTTTGACCAAACCAACCCGCACTGCACTTTCCACCACGGGAGATCATTCAAACTAAATGCTTGTTTATTTTGTAGCATATTAGTTTTAGTTGTTCCATAGATTTCCTTAACTTTTTTCCTTTACAAACTAATATTTTCCCGCTATCGTATTATTAGAATTAGTTGTGCTTTCGTCACGATTCAACAACACATCTGTTGGTAATTGTTGAATTTGTGTTGGCACTGGGGGGCGGTTTGGTCAAACGTGGTTAGTTTTTTTATTTTATGTCTTTTATGACACGGCAGAGCAGTTTACAATGTATGCCAAGATGATTTGGGTATTTTCATTAAGTGCTGGGGCTGCATTTTTACACAGTGAATAACAAAAATACACACCAATCCAAAGCTTATCCCTAAGAGTATTAAGTATGTTTCAGTACACGTATAAACAGATTAGATTTATAGTACTGTATGAATTTCCTAAAGAGGTAAGAACTTTTGTTTGATATGCCTGTACTCTTATTTAGATATTTCCAGTTATCCATGGATTACCCGGTTTCTTAAACTTGGTGTTTAGTTCCTTAATATATCACTTTTGTTCACATTTATCTTTATTTCTCTAAAATTAACTTGTTTCTGCAGTAATCAGGTGTACTGCTTAGCCTTTTTTTTATTTTATTTAAAGAAATCTGGATGTAGAGTTTGAGCTTTTCTCCAGAAAGTATTTTTTATGTGACAAAACATGAAGGATTCTTCATATTTTGTTCAAAGGGAATCCCTGTAATCTAACAAATGGGATGTTACTGATTTAACCCTTAACTTTAAGACAATTCATGTTCCTCAGGGGAAAAATTAACCACTTAAACTGTTTAAAAATACTATTTTTATAGTCCCCCTACCACACACACACAATAAACTAGTTAATATTTTAGTGCCATCTCAGCCTGAAATAAAATTAAATTTAAATTATCTTAATTTTACTTTAATTTCTTAAGGGTTTTTTGTTTAATAAAACTCCACATTTCAGTAAAAAAAATTTATATTTATTTTATGGCAGTTTTTGAAATAAATATTTTTTCCCCTAAATGATTTTTTTGGCAGGGGGAGTGGTGGCGCAGAGGTTAGAAAAGGAGAGCCTGTCATCGTAAGGTCACCGGTTCGAGACCCCGGACCAACAACTTTAGAAATGTGGGTGGGACAGATAAAGCACCCACATCACTGCCAACCTCATCTACTGCACCATGGGCCCCTTAGCAAGGCTCTCAACCCCACCATCTGCTCCCCCGAGCGCCCTGGATGTAGCTCAGTGGTCTGTGGTTGTCAGGAAGGACATCCGGCGTAAAAATAATCGCAAAGCCTTCGTGCGAGTGAGTTCGCTGTGGTGACCCCTGAAGAAGGAAACTTTTTTTTTAAAGAGGTTTTTATGGAGGGGGGTGGGATTAAATATTTATTTTATAGTCCGTATTTTTCGGACTATAATGCGCACCGGATTATAAGGCGCAATATCAGTGAACGGGTCTGTTTTCATACGTAATGTGCCGTATAATCCGATGCGCCTTAAGTGCAACTAAAACATCTGGACAGATTTTTGAGCCATGTACCACATGAAGTCAGTTCAAGGTCAGTAAACGCAAACAGAATTAATACGTAAGGCGCACCGGATTATAAGGCTCACTGTTGATTTTTGAGAAAATTAAAGGATTTTAAGTGCATCTTAGTCTGAAAAATACGGCAATAAAAATCCCGGTCCAAGGTAGGCCTGTCACGATAACAAACGTTGCTGGGCGATTAATTGTCTCAGAAATTATTGCGATAAACGATAATATTGTTTGAAATTTGACAATAATTAATCATTGTCAAATTTAAGAAGAAACATTGGTAAATTTTTGTGCGTAGCACCTTTTTGACCACTGGGTGGCAGTACACGACTGAACCGAAGGATGGATGGTGAGGGAGCGAGCAGCGTGGCTCTTTAAGAAAAATGGGAGGGAGGCCCCTTGACGTGACATGGGCTGTCTCTCGTTCCTTTTTTTTTTGTTCTCAAAATGGCGGACGCTCAGTGTGGTTTGAGCTCTTTAGCATTTTGCACACAACACTTTTAATTTAAAAAAAAAATCAGTAAACAAGTTCTCAGCTACTTTTTGCAGAGAAAAACAACTTTTTACACGAAGGCACGGGTTTCAACCGTGAATTTTGGAGCTTCGACAAAACGGAGGTTTTTTCCCCGAGGTCGGCCTTTTAGCTTAGCTCGTAGCTTAGCTTCTCAGCTTAGCTGCTTTTAACGATCCAAAAATGCGATTTTGTACGTTAAAATGGATTTTAAAGAGAAAGGGAGGGGTCAGTGAAGAGCACCGGAGTTGAGTCGTTTGTCATCCAGTGTCTTCAGTAGAAAGAGAGAGACACGAAGAAACGATAAATGAGGTAGATCATTTCCATTTATCATGTGATTAATTGATTTATTGGTTATCGCGACAGACCTAGTCCAAGGTTTTTGTGAAGGCCCACCAGACGCCTTAAGATCCAATAGCCAAAAATTAAGCCTTCTTTCCAGTCAAACTTATTTGTGTCTCCTGGTGGTCGAACACGAGTTGTTTCCAAATCTGTTTTTTAACTCTGCCCGTGGTAGAAATGATAGTTTCTAAATCGTTTTTCACTTGTACTGACTCAGATATGCTAGCAAGCTGTAGGAGCACGGTGCAACCCGCTAACGACGTCCGGCTTTGGGTGCAACCCGCTAACGACGTCCGGCTTTGGGGTAAACCAGCGAGTCAGACGTGGCGCGTCCGATTCTGCAGCCTGCAGTTTCTTCGTACTAAATCCTTACGTGAGCACATTACAAGAAAGTTTGTACTCTTTACATCCAAACTAAAACAATTACGTTGGCTGAGATGTGAGGCGGGACTCCGCAGCGACGTGAGGCCGGGAAAAACGCAATTTTTCCCGGGTAAATTTTTACAGAGGCTCTCGACTATAAAAGTGGTGCTGATATAAAAATTTAAAGTCTAGCGATAGAGGTGAAAATATAAAACGATACTGAGGAATTAATTGTTTTATATGATAAATATGGGATTAAAAGTTGTGTTTTAATGTGGCCGATGTTTCCCCTCAGGAACATGAGTGTGTAGTAAAGACACTGTGAGATTACGAGAGCATTTGAAAACTAAATTAAAAAACCATAGGGTTTCTACGCTTAGCCAGAAAAAAAAAAACATGTAAAAAAATAAAAACAGACAAAAATAAATGCACGACTGATTTATTTATTTTTTTTTCCCCAAAAGGCGACACGAGCATTACCGGTAATTTATAAAATATACGGGACAATCAGGGGAACAATTACTAAAGTACTAGTACAACACTGAATACTTCATTCTGATTTTGTTGTTCTCTTTTTTTGTGGTTTGGGGACTTTCTTTTATTAGTTAGTTGAGAATATTAGTCGAACGTCTGTAAGCAGAAAACAAGATTCCGGTAAAGTCAGTCGATCTGTCTGCTGAAAACTCTGAAGGTTCTTAAGATTTATTGGGATTATTTAACAAGAGAGAGCAAAATAGACAACTTGAATACTTATATTTAATCTCTATATATGCTTTAGTATCTACTAAACTGCAGCCACGATGATGCTGAGCTCCGACCAAGGCCAGCTAGCATGGCTAGCTTTTAGCTTGAGCTCAAGTTGTTAGCAGGTTAGGACAGTTTATCGTCACATTGTAACACCGGTTTTACTTTAGGACTTAAGATAATGGATAGAAAAATGTAGTTTGGAAGCCAAAGAGTGATATAGTTTGGTAACTATCTCCCAAGCAGGCTTGCTAGCTAAACCGTTGCTTGAGAAATGTGAAAGAATCGAGAGAACGACGGTCTCGTATGATAGAATCCAAGTAGGTCTAATGTTTTCTGTGCTGTCCCGACGCCCTAGGGATGAAAACAACGTTGACGTACGGACCAGCGTTTTCAAACTACAGTAGTCCCCCGCTACTTTGCGGTTCGACTCGCTCTTTCGCGGTTTTTCAAAATAAGAGTGGACTTGACACACAAACTGGCTGACTGATGGATGAGCCACACAAGCGACATGGATTGTTTATTCAGAATAAATGGTTTTGAATGATTTAGCAGCTGTGCGCAGCCCACAGGTGCAGGGAGACGCTCCTGCAGCCTGTCGTGATCTCCACTCTCTTCCACCTGCGGCTCTCTGCCACGCCCACATGTCTCTGTGCTGCAGCAGCTTTGTGAAGGGTTAACCCGTTGCTGTCCTGCTGCGATTCTTTTCTCTACCATTCAAATTTAAATACCGTAGTATTTTTGTTTATTTAAAATATTACAGTATTTAAATTGTTTATTTACACAAAAGGAGGGAGATTGGGGATGAAATTTGAACTTGGACTACTGTATCCGGTTTTTCACTTATTGCGGGGGGTGGTCCCCTAGACCCCGTGATAAACGAGGGACTACTGTACTCCTTTAAAGATTTTGTAACCCTGTAGCTGTGCATGTGAATTCAGGGCGTTTCCATTTAAATTCAAACACTCCAAATTGGCATCAACAGGTAAAATGAGAAGCAGAAGTAAAAGCCATTGGAACCCCAAACTACCAAATACCAACTTGTCTAAGACTTCATGAACTGTGTCTTTTGATTAAAAGTTTATTTTTCCTATAAAAATGGAAGGGACTTGTGATTCCCTGCAGAGTGCAGGACCCTAAAGGACATTCTTCAGTGCCCAAATGGCAACGATTGCCGGTGCTGTAACACAGATTCTCCGTGCTCGGACACGGTGAACAGAGCAACGTTAAAAAATGGATGATGCAG